TAAGTTTTACTATTACTTCTATTCTTTATATTTTGCAAGTGTTGTATTCAAGAGATTTGAAGTTTGGTGCAGTTACTTCCTTATAATCTATCTTCCTGATGGAGTCCCTACTATATTTAACTACAAATATGAATCATTAGAGATACGTTACTAGCCTGAGGTTTACTGTAATGATATGAAAAAATGAAATATCAAAAGTGATAAAAATGTAGGTTCTAATTTAAATTTATATTCTATTATAAACTACGGTAGTGGAAATACAAAATCTGAAACTAAAATTACAAACGCTTGAAATAGAGTATGGTAGAGTTCTATACCCATTGTGGCTCTACTTTTATATTTGTAAACATTACACTTAGCATTTAAGTTACATGCTAAATTGTCACTTTTTTATTATGAAGTTGGTATAGAAGCTAATCTTTCAGAATCATACCTCTGTAGCATTTAGAATTATCAGCAAATAGGGAAGAAATCTTATCAATATATTCATTATATATCAATAGCTGCTTTTTACTTACAAGCTTTCTGGAACATTCTCAAAAAACCTTACCAGCGCTAGTTATAATTTGTTTTACCTTGAGAATTGGCTACTGCCTAATACTAGCTACTACTTTATACCACTTCCTCTTAAAGTTTAGTCAACCGAAGAATTTGACTTAAAGATATTAAGAACTGATATCTACTGTAACTTCTCCTTATCTTAGTTTATATGAAACCTTGCCCTTACACTTGTAATTATTTTGCCCCTTAGGGGGAGCAATTATGGATGGCCAGAGTGGAGAAGGTTGTCAATAGAATTCTACTTTACTAATCAGGTAAGAAGTATACTTTAGACTACGGACCATGGTTCCTCACAATCTAATCAATAGCTGAAATTGTCTGAAAAATCTCCAAAAGACAAGGATCATGCCCTTCTCAACTCCATTAAACTCTTTGCATGATGTCTTGGGTGCTATGGTTGATGCTGTTGTTAAAAGTTGATTGGTCTTCTTTGTTACTGAGATGTATTGTCTTCACTTATCTACCATTTTCACTAAGACTTTTGCTTAGGTGATTGACTGTACTAGCACTTTGGGCTATGGCCAACCTAAGTTGCTCAGCATCTGAGCTGCAGAACTCACCGACTTAATACATCAGGTCCACCTGGCAATACCTCTACCGGTAGTGATACGGCACGTAGAAAAAATGTGGCTTATTTCTCGGGGAGCTAACCATGCCAACGATACTTGTAACTAATTGTTTGGACATGGCCTCGCAGTTTTGTTGAAGCCAGGTACAGTGGTGTACTACTGAGGAACCCGTTGAAAATTTATCCTGCAGCGCGCGCTCGACCACGGACAGTGGTACGGTACTATACCACTCTACGCGGTTTATATGCGGTCCGAGTATTCTTGTTGTGGGGACAGGTACGGGGGACGGGGGCCTATTGTATGGTACTAGGATTCTTGGCACGGCCGATATCGACTCCCGAATTTTGACCAATGTCATTATTAAATTGGTATGCGCTGCACGCACATATTCAATACCATATAATTATTATACTCTACCGTCCCGATACGCCAACTGAATTCCCTATCCCGATGTCTTGTTGCCATACCACCATTTTAATCACTCTTGACCCGGCCCCCAATCCCTGTAGCCTTCGTGCCGTATCATATTGTGCTGTACAGCTCTGCTTTCCATGAATTTCCGAGAGGCCAACGGGGCCCACTTTCGTAAATGGCGTACACCAAATGAGTGACTCTCCCTTAACTGCTCGGCGCTGTTCGGGACGCTCAAGTCGGAGAGTTCGGTACCTAAATTATGTGGCAATTCCAAGTGGCGCCTCCCAAAGAACTGCCAAGCGCTCATAAATTCTCACTCGCCGAAACAGGACCTTCTACAGTTTTCTTGTCCCGGGGCGGCCCCCGGCCCCTAGTGTGCTTCCATAGAGGACTATGGGGCTGGTTGTGCATGTGGCCCGTCCATAAAATTCAATAACGTATTCTACCTAGTGTTGGGACATCCTGTAGTAATGGGACACCACTCAAAAATGGGACACCACATGTAAACTGATGAATTAAGGCAGCCACAACACTTAGAACCAGTTTATGCTTATTATTTAGCTTTGAATTTTCATCTAAATTACATATGCTCAGGCTTATTGCCTATACTAGTTGTTGAGAACTGCTGTTAGGAAAAGTGTAGAGAGAGTGAGAATCTGTGATTGGAGTAGTTAGAAATTATTTAAATTAGGATAAAAAATTGGAAAATTATTTGGTTACCTGGCAGAGATAGGTGTACGTCCTGCCCTGAATTAGGAAGCTTAATCTTGGTATTTGGAGCTCTAATGAAGTCAGGTCGTTAGTTTGAAAATACCTAATATTTCTTGTCCTTAATTTACATACCTCAGTAGCTGCCTCAATATCACTTGTATTCTCGCTCACACTTTCATCATCCAACAAGTCCTCCTCCTTATCATCCACCGAGGTGAGAGCAGCATTCCTGCTGCTGGCTTTCATAATAACTCTCTTCTGAGGCCTTTTTTTTCCTCTCTGCTCCTGTTTTTTTACTATGCGTTTGGCTGCTGCTTCAGCTTTCTTTTTATCCAGCTGCTCTCGTTTTCGATACAGCTTTGCTACATGCTTGGTACTGAGGAGCAACCCTCCAGGCAATTGCCGGCGATCTGCTTTTGCTGGTTTCAGTAGCTGTCTTGCCTCCATAACCTCTACCTCTGCAATTTTCTTTTCTGCTTCAAGAACCTTTGCAACTTGAATGCACTGACTCAGAAGCTCCTTAACTGGACAATTGCTTTCAGTTTCCACAATTGTCTTGTTTGCATTCTGGATTTGATCAATCACGGTAGCCTCTCCTAAGCGCTGTGGTAATGGTTGAAGACCCACTCGCTTTTCTGACAAGAGTGTTTTAGGAACCATCTTTGCCTGCAATTGGGGATTGTCCAGAATTTGGCTTTTGCAAAATGGAACAAGACCACATGCGCACCATGCAGACTTGATATTCTCTGGTGTAAAAGTTTTGCTCCTTGCTGTTTGCAGCATAGGAAAGACATCTCCTTTTTTAATTGTTCCAAAAGGACCTTGCCTGCGAACTCGATCCTCCAATTCTTGCTTGTAATATGTAGAAAGGGGACCAAAGATCCCAACATCAAGAGGCTGGAGAATATGAGTAGAGTGCAATGGGAGACAGAGTAGATGAATATTGTGATCAATTGCATGTTGAATAAAGTTTACATTTTCAACATGAGCGGAGTGACCATCGAGAATTAGAATTCGATGTGCTTGTAGGCCATGATCTGATCTTGTATGTGGTTCAAATACCTCTTTGAACCACTCGCAGGTAATATCGGTATTGGTATATCCCTTTGAAGAGGTTGAAAAAAAGGTGTCTTCCTTTTCTTCAATTCTGATATTTGTATGATGACCCATCAAGTGAGTATTTGCTTTGAAGATAATAAGTGGCGGAAGCACCTTGGCTTCAGTGGATATTGCTTCCACAAGAGTTACCCATTCTCTGCCACCATCTTGAATAACTTTAGGATTCCGACGTGAAGTATGGCAAATCATACTTCCAGCTCCACCAAGTCCCATAGCAAATCCTTTCTCATCTGTATTCCAGATGTCTGCCTCTCTTACATGAAACTTGCACTTGATGTGATAGAAACGATTCATATAAATTTTGAACGAGTTCAAATCGGTAGCAAGAGCCCTTTCTTTGTCTAAACATTTTCCCACTTTGGAGTTTAGATCTGAATGGCGACCAAGAAACCGCTGTAACCAATTCCCCCCCACCTGATCCCTGCAGCCTCTGGCCCGTAAGAGACTCTGTACCATTTGATAAACATGTCTGCGTCGTGTGGGAAATCCAAAGTCATCCCACTTTTGTATCCACGAACTAAGTGCTTCTTCCTCAGCGGCCGTAAGAAGTTGTTGTTCCTCATGGGCCATTTTAGCACATGCTGACTTATTGGCCAAGCGGTTGTGAATTGTAGATTTGAGAAGTTGAAACATGAGAGCGAGTTTACAGATTGAAAGTTCAGGATTTTCTTGATGGGCTTGTAATCCCTGCTGAATCCTTTCTTCCTTATTTCGTTGAGAGGCCGATATTTGGAAAACTTGTTCGATTAATATAGGAGTTGAGGTATGGAGTGTAAATTATTCAAATGGTGAGAAAGTATAAGGATAAACTTGTCTTTTTGCATTAGTAAATAGTATAGAAAAATATAAAGTATTTAGAACTAACGACTTGACTTCATCAGAGCTCCAAACAATAGAATTAAACTTTTTACTTAAGGACCAGATATACATCTACCTCTGCCAGGTAACCAAATAATTTTCCAATTTTTTATCCTAATTTAAATAATTTCTAACTACTCCAATCACAGATTCTCACTCTCTCTACACTTTTCCCAACAGCAGTTCTCAACAACTAGTATAGGCAATAAGCCTGAGCATATGTAATTTAGATGAAAATTCAAAGCTAAATAATAAGCATAAACTGGTTCTAAGTGTTGTGGCTGCCTTAATTCATCAGTTTACATGTGGTGTCCCATTTTTGAGTGGTGTCCCATTACTACAGGGTGTCCCAACACTAGGTAGAATACGTTAGCTTCGGACAGGGCACTCATTTCCGCTAATTATGAGTTCATCTAGTCGATCAGGCGAGCATTTGACCGCTCCGGGCTAAGGGCGGCTGAAGTGTGCACAGGCAGGTGCTGCGGGGTTTGGATTGTTTATTAATAGCCCGGGAATTTGTTTCTGTTTCTCTCCACGATAAAGTGTACCATGGGGAGTGGTATTTCAGTCGTATCGGATTGTGGGGGTGTCGTGATTCCGTTATGTGCAATTCCTGAACACTAACTGGTGCATGTGAGACATCCTTTCCCCCTTTACCGTACGGTTTAGGCCAGAAATTTGCCAACCTAGGGGTGCAAGTGGGTCATCCTCGATCACTCGGGGTCATATCTTGCAGAGCTCAATCATAGGTTTTAGGCCGCATAAGTTAGCCATAACACCATTGATTTTCACCCACTAACACACACACACACAAAACGCGCTTCTAGGACATATACAGCTATTATACACTCAAATTTCTGCTTTAACCCTCTTAAGAGGGGATGTGGGCATGATACCGCTTCTCCCACCTCCACCTGCACCCGCCTCTTCATCGCTGTCGCCATCACCATAATTTTTTCTCTTCTTCTGCCCCCTGAACCTCCCTCTGGCTTCCACCTTCCCCTCAGCCGGTAACACCCGAGTGCCCGCAAATATCACACCCTCTGCCCCTCCACGCGCAGTCATCACAGGGTGTGTTCTACCGGGTAACACCTGCCACTTGCGAACCCTCGTTTCGTGTACGGTAGGCGCAAGCACCATGGTTGGATCTCCAACTGCATCTTGGTCTTCCATCACCCCTTCGCCTTCGCCTTCGTTCATCCACTCGGCTTTCCTCGTTGCGGAATAGCAATCCGCGAGTTCTATCACGGATTCGCGGTTCTGACTATATGCTACAATTTGTGCGGAGCCCTTGAGGAGTGGAATAGTGTGTCGAAGAATGCCCTTTAGGTCCATGAACGCTGCTATCAGTAAGCCGTCGAAACCGCCTTTTTGAGCCTCTGCCACTATGCGTGATGTTTTTTCCCAGCGACGGTATTTGCGCCAATATGCCGCACGCTTTCCTCCCTTGATTGTGGCCAGGGTTTCGGCTGAAATTTCTTCGGGTTTTTCGAGGGAGCTGTCGGTGTTTGGGTCAACCAGTTGTAGCCAGTTTAAGGTTCTGAGATGCGTGTGTAGCGGATGGGATGCACTGGGGCTGTTGGTGTCGTAGGAAAAGTATTTTAGTAGTGAGAGGTTTGGCTGCTCGTTTGGGTGAATGAGGGTTATTGTGTTCGCAGTGGGAAGGGGGGTATCTGGGTAGCGCTTTCGGGCCGCGTCTTCCTCTCTTGACTCTTCGGATTCCGTGGGCATGTGTTCTAGTAGGCCGAGCCTTTCAGCTATGGCCGATACTAGTAGTCCGCCAGATTCATCGATCACCAAGTAGCGACCACCGTAATGGACATTGCCAAGGGAGAGCATTACGGCAATAGTTTCGTTGCGCATTTCGAGAATTTTCATGGGCTCCTTGGTATCGAGGAGGTAGGTTATTAATGAGGCAACAGTTAAGGGAAGAGCGGTGAATCGGCGAAGAAACTTTTTAGTCTTGCGGAGGGTATATTTCTGCAATGCGAAAGGTGTCTTCTGATGGATGGCTGTATGTGAGTCTAACAGTCTCTGAATCAAGTCCTACCAGATCCTCAAGTTAGCGTTAGCGGGACACTCGACTAAGCACATGGAGGTGGATGTTACCCTTCCAGAACCGGTTCCCTGTTTCTTAAGCTGCTCAATCTCCACCCAACTCAACTTCTGACTGAGCGGATCGTCAATGGTCTCCTTATTTGTTCGCATCACTTCGCCTCCATCCTCCTCCGAGTCACCTGCGATCTCTAAATCGTAATGGCCTGTCCCTTCTGCTTCGGCATCTTCACCACCTCCAAGTATGTCTCGTGTCACCTCCTCTGCCGAAACAAGCCGTAATCCCGCAGCCGGGGGGTCAAGAATGTCAAAGGTAAGGTTGTAAGGTCTGTAAAGTAAGGCATTTGAAGGGAAAGAGCCGAATTTCCCGAGCGAGATAGTGACGTCGGGTATAAGTCGTACCACTCGAGGAGCCCCCGATGGAAGGCGGAGTAGCAGGTAGGTGTAGGGAAGAATTCGCTCTTCCGGCATTTGAGGAGTGCTTGGGTGTTTGATGGGACCCTTCTTTCTTTCCTTTTTTTTTTTTGGAGGTTCATCGGTAGAGAGTTGAACGGAGAGTTATCTTATCAAATGGTCTTATCTAATCTTGATTGTTGGTACGGTACATATGCTCCGGTTTGGATAAATTAAGTTTCCTTACTTGTACAAGTACAGTCTTCACCGGGGGCGTGACGAAACTGGGCGGGTGACGAACAGGGGAGGGTATCACACTAAACCAAATGTGAATATCAAGTGGATCTGTGTTACCAGAGGCCTTGGCATAGGGTATACACCATGGGGCCCTTGTGTCAGGGGACAAATTGTTAGTAAAATGAGTTGTATATGTCCCTTGAAATCAGTACTTGCTACAAGTAAAACATCGTGAGAGTATATACAAAGACTGTAGAAATTTCTATGAAGTTGAGTCATAGTCTGGAACAATTAAATAGAGAGGATAAAGAAAGCTGGTAGGAAAGAAGAATAAACTTACGGGATTAAAAATTTCAACTATGTCAACCTCTTTTTCTTCCTCCTCTTTGTTCCCAGGTTTCCAAATATCAGTTCCTGATATTGATCATTCACAAATCTATTCACAATCTGAACGCCTAGAATTAGCCTTAAGTCATTACCATTCCGAGCAACATACCTACCAATCAAACCCAACGATTAAAAAAAGACCTGTAGTATTGCAAATTGCAAAAACTTATGGTATTTCAGAGGCTACCCTACGAAGATATATCAAAAATCCACATCAGCAAACAGTGCAGCAGGCAGCTGAAAATGCACAAGTATTAACATGTGCAGAAGAAAGTGTCCTAGTGGATCGATTGATTTTCCTCGATGATTGCAACATACCAGCTGATCGCGAAATATTTTACCAATTAGCCCATAAACTTCTCCACTGCCGAGTACCCAACCGTGAACTGGGCTGAGATTGGATTACACAATTTTTAGAACGGCACCCAGAGGTAAAATATGTCTATGTAAAGACAATAGCCACATCAAGGGCAAATGTAAAGAGTTGGGACATTATGGATGACTTTTTTTGGAAGGTATATTGATTATTGTCTCTTACATATTTAATCTATGTACATAATTAACTTAAATTAGTTAGGAGAGGTTATAAAAAAGTACTCGATAGCACCAAGAAATATTTACAATTTGGATGAGAAGGGGTATCAATTGGGCATCGGACGAGCCGTAAAGCGAATTACATGAAATATACGAACCACATCAGTCTATAAAGAACCATGTGTTCATGAATCATGTACTGTTGTTGAAGCAATTGGAATAGATGGATTCTTTCTCACTCCTCTGATCATATTCCACGGGGAAAATCAACTAGCTAGCTGGCATCAATTACAAAAAGAGATGGAATTTTGGTACGGTAATGCTACTAAGGGCTTTAACAATAGTGTTATATGCCTAGAGTACTTTGAGAAGATATTTGAACCCAAAACTAGAAGTTAGTAAGTAAATGTAACGGACAGGGTCTGAGGGTCGGGTAGCCCAAGGCACACCACGATCAGGATAGGTAGGAATCTGGAGACGAGGTCTAGGTGCGGGGGTACAACCGAGGCGAGTTGTACGAGGTTCGGGGTTCAGGGGTTCAGGGTCAGGGTTCAGGGGTTCAAGAGGACGCCAGAAAGTAGAGAGTGTAATTCCTAGGTACAGGTGTCCGAATTCAATCTAAGTTTATTTATCTTAGTCGCGCCAAAACATGGCTTATGATCTAGCTAACATCCCTCGTAACCCATAAATCATAACAAAATCACTACCACGGCAGACCGTCCCGCAACCCTCCTCCCAAACATAAATCCAAAAATCACTACCAACAGGCTCACGGGCGCTCAGACCGCAAGCAGCCTCCCGGATTAACGCGTCTTCCTGTCTCGCAAATCCTATCCATCACCAACACCGCCATCAGCAATTTCAGTCTGCACATACTCAACAAAGGAAAGATACAACCTGTCTCAACACCGTGTCGTGTTTCTCCAATGACCCGAAATATCAACAAACGTGCCATCACAAAAACAACAGTGGGGTCCTTTAACAAACTCATAACTCCTCGCCCAAGCCAACACACTAGACACCTGTTCGCCAAACTCCATGTCCCCCCACCTTCCAAACGCCCGAACCCAGTACAAACTCATACATCGATCCAAGCAGGGCGGGGAGGCCGCAACGTGGACACGGAAGGCCTTAATCAGTGACTGCCCTTCTAACTGTCGACCTCGTTTCGCAATCGCGGTGCTGCAGCCGGGGCATACAGTCATATCTGGGGGGAGGAAGAACCACTTATTGCCCCCGATCCTTGCAGTAGGCAACCGGCAGTAACCGTATTCGTGGGTCGTGGAGCATCTAACACACTCCCACCCGTTCTCCTTGACGATTAGCTTCCCGTCCCGCTCCACCAAGAGTGTTCCATCAAACGGATTCCCGGCAACCACCAACTCGCCATCCACCTCAACAACACTTTTCGGAATTCCCAGTCCCAACCACCGGTGTCCCCTCCACCACTCTTGCCACTCCCTGACCTTCCTGTCCTCGAACAACGTATCTGCTGAAGGCCGGTCCCGAAGGTAGCGCATGGTTTTGATCCAATGATTCCGGTCGTCACGACCCGGGCAATCATCATGTCCTACCAGTCCAGTGCCGCTTCGTATCCATATCAGGACATATGCATCTAGCCTGGTAAGGCCCCTCAGGTGTCGCGGCGCGGCGGGCGCCCGGTCGTAGTAGCCATGGCCTTGTGCACGGTGCCACTCTGCCCACTCGTGTCGGCGTAACTCCCGCGCCATTGCCGCATGTCCGATGCCAAAGCTAACACCTTCCCAGTCAGTGGGTTTCAGCACGCAGGACACACACTCTTTCGCCTTCAAGTCGACCAGCTCATTCCCGGCAACGCCAGTATGCCCTGGGACCCACTCGCAGTGTACCTTCCCGCACCCGTTCAGCAACGGGGCGAGCACTTCCCAGGCCTCAGCCGAATCGCCTTCGGGGATCATGCTCTCAATCAACATCAGCGCAGGGACACAATCCAAGAAGATACGAGCGCTAGTTCCGGGGTGAACCTCCTTCAGGTACCTCAAAGCCCCCACGACCGCAAACAGCTCACATTCCACAATGCTCCATGATGGAGGCACTGCCTGTCCCATTACTCGCGCTTCCCCTCGATGGTACACAGCCCATGCAGCACCGGCCTTGCCTGAGTGTTTGGACCCATCAGTGTACACCACCACCCCCGGTGAGTTCATAAGGCCAGCGATCTTGCCGTTATGTTGGGCAGTGATCACCTCCTTGCCTTTCCCGATAACAACCGTAGGCCGCTCTCGTAGCTCGATGTCCGACGTCTGTCGTTGTGCCATCATGCCTTCCTCCTTCCAGTTTTGCCTGATGTGCCCGAACGAAGGGTGGTCAGCACAATGCTGCAGGTTGATGAACCGGCTGTAGCATCGTCGTTGGAGGTACCGCCCCTGTATATAAACGGGCGGTACACCAAACTCGGCTAACAGGATATTGTTAGCCAGCTTAAAGGGGGTACGGAACACGGATCGCAGGCAGTTGTTGACATGGACCTGAATCTGTTTCACATACGACTTATAGTCGGTTACAAATTCAAGCCCATAGTAGACGGTCGGGAGGTAGGCTGCTTGCACCAAACGGTAAGTTTCCCACGCCCCAATTCCACCCACACCACCATATCTCCGCCCCAACGCCATCACCCTTCTTCTCACATCCAACCCCCTATCCAACCAATACCTCATATGAGCCGAAAAATTAAGGAAAACATTAAACCTATACCCAAGTACCCTCAGATCCTCAGACGGTTCAACCAGTTCCCCCATCAATTCCATCCCATCCCAAGCCCTATCCCCAAACCCAATCCACTGGGTCTTAAGGGCACTGAAACCCATACCACGAGCCCTTGCTACCCTGTCGAGGTCCGAGAACAGTTCCTCAGCATGTCCTTGGGCGGCCCTCCGACTTCCGGCAGCCACCAGGACCACCCCGTCATCCACATAGGATACTACCACATGTCGCACGCCCGGAGTGTATCGCAACCTAGGTGAAAAGATATCGGCCACATACGCACCAAACAAGAACGGGGACAGGGGAGACCCCTGTGGGATACCTTTACTCATATGGTACCTCTTAGAAACCCGCCCGTTAAATCGGAACCGAACTGTTCGGTTAGCACACCATCGCCGTATCCAACGACACAGTGCGACGGTGCAGCCTCTTGCCACCAAAAAATCGGAGAGGAGGTCAATATCAATATTATCAAACCCTCCTTCCACATCCACCGATAGCATCATCCTATGGTATCCTTCGTTGTGCTTCAGGAACTCAAAAACGACTGCCATGGCATCGTGGACACCCCGTTTCCGTCGCGAGCCGAACTGGGTGTCTCCCAACTCCAGGCACTGTGCCAGCCTAATGAGAATCACCCGTTCTGCCACCTTGGCCATGACTGGTAATAGGTGGATCATCCTCCATGCCTTGACCACGTCATATCGTGGTTTGCCAACCTTAGGGATGAGCACCACTTCAGCCTCGTGCCAGTCCGGGACATCGTATCTTAGTCCATGGTCCAGCATTCGCCTCATATCTTCAGGACACCCTCTCTTCCAAAATCTCAAAAAAGGGTACCCCATGTCATCCAGCCCCGGACCTGTGTTGGTGGGCGATCTCTGCAGTGCCAATTCCATTTCCCGGGCAGATTCCAGAGCCACTTCAACGGGGGCCCATTCAGGCTGCGCCCCGGGTTCCAGCTGTGCTGCGATGGCATCTGAGATGTCCTCATGTGTTGTCGCAATCGTGCCATCTGATAGCTCCATAGCCGGCAGCGTCCTTCTGGCGTCCAAACGTCGTACCATGTTAAACACAGCTGGGTCCTCGGCCTGGCTTAGTTGTCCACAGATGTACTCAAACCGTGCCCAGACGACCGATGCCCTATACACACACCTCGCCAACCGATAGTCAGCATTGTAATCGGGGTCGCGTCGCCCAAACCGCCTCAATCTTCGGACATCCTGTCGCATTCGCTCCAGTTCAGGTGTCCACCATCGGCACGGAATCCTACTGGGCGGCGGCCTAGGTAGAGCGTCGACAATTCCTCGAGCCGCAGTCCAAAGCTCATTGTCCGGCACCCCTTTCAGAGCCTCCAGTTCCGTAGCGACCTTCTCCCAACAAACTTTCTTCCATGCTGGGCGCGTCCTAGTAATATCAGTGGGTGCTGTCACATCCAGCCTAATCAGCTGCCCCACGTGCTCACACCCAACAATGTCGCTGTACCGATGTCGGATCGAGTTCGCATAGTGTATGCACAGGTCGATCCTTGAGATGTTGCGGAAGGTAGGCTCCGCAGGGAAGGTCATGTTGTATCCGTTATCCTGCATCCACCTCTTCAACCATCCACCCCTGTGGTTTTGGCCATCGGGGTCCCAGTAAGGGTCTCGGGCGTTCCAATCACCCACCAGCACATCACACCCCGCCAGCTTCTCCAACTCTCCGCAAAACACATCTTTGCCATCCTTGGGCGGAAGGTAAACACCAGCAAGCTTCCTCTCCACCCCACCATCATAACATCGCACCAAAGAAAAACATCTCTCATGCCCCACAACATCAAAAAGCCCGCACAAAGCCGAGCGCACAAAAACCTCAACGCCTGAACCTTTAACAAATGAAAATAAATCCCACCCGTTGGCTTCATGTGGCACATGTAAACCATCCGCATCAACCGGCGGTTCCAAAACAAAAAACAAATCAACATAGGAAAACAACTCAAACGCCGCCTCCCGATTCCTCACCCCCCGACCAACATTTAATGCAAGGGTTGTAAAATGCATTAATAATGGAATGAGGCCGGAGCCTCTGCGGAACCACGTGAGCTCACTGAGCCCTCACCATGAGTAGTTGTATACCCTACAACAATGGGGTTATCAAGCATGCCGCTCACATACTTGTTCTGGTCAAGCCTCCCAATTCGTGGCAGACCATTCCTCTTGGTAGGCGGTGGTGGAGATACCGGAGGGGGAGGGGG